TTTAGAGTCCATTATGAACTTGCTGATTTTTCACTCTATTGGTAAGAGATTTGTTATTAGAAGTTGGAGTAAACAGTTTGATAAGGTACATTATATTTACAACTACATGTATTTATTGAAGTTCAAATTTTTCACATAGTACATGTACAATCCTGGTTTTAACCTAGAAGATACGTCCTCTCTAGACAAAGGGCTTCAGGCTATGACTATTATTTTAGATGGTTATCCTCAACTGACTCCAAGCTGGAAAGAGTTACGTTTGATGTTTTCACCTAAAAAATACTCTTTTGAAATCATTAGGTGGATATAAATTATATTGAATTTTAAATTGAGATTGCATAGGAAATTTATTTCAGTAAGTGTTAAGTATCTTGTCAGAGGTCAAGATGATGATTCATTCCGGGTTGATTTTTTGCAATCACTGACAGCTACTTGCTTGGATATTTCGCTGAAGAAAAAGGCTACAATTCATTTTGATGTTTCAAGCGTTATGCAAGAAGTAAATTAATACTAAACTTTCTTCTATTTATACATGTATGTACATGACATATAAATTCAATACAGGGAACAGAATTTTTGACGTACTTGGTACATTTGATCACTGAGCATGAATGGAGTCTGGAAGATTATAAGAAAATACTTGAGGACTGGTTGATGATAGTGTTTAATCTTATTGATCTCTCAGATGTAAAAAGTAGGAAGGAACTCATCAGATTTATTACTACTAATGATAAAAGTTTATGGAATGATGGGGAAATTTTCTTTTATAGACAAGTAAGATAATGATTAACTCATTTGAATGTCATATCAGCATACTGAGCTTATGCTTACATAATTTAATTTACATACATAGCAGCACAGATCTGCTTGATTTTATTCTACTATAGTTATTTTTGAAAGAAACTGCATAATTATACTATTGAATATGCATATATATGTAATAAAAAGTAATAGCATAGCTAACGATAAGGTAGTGAATAAGTGTACTACTGAAATTGCAGTTATTGGACTTGCAACACTTGCGTAGGCAGATACTAAGCAGTTGGGTTGTCATTCTGTCATTTTTCATTGGTAGTTGGAGGGTTTACTATCAAAGTGGTATCATAATTTACCTGTTGAAGACTTAATCAGTATTATAAAAGTTGTGGAAAGTGAACAGTTTAATAAACCAAGGGTAAGTCAGCACAAATCAACACCTAATATATTCCAATGAAAGTATAATTAATGTATGCATTTAATTCTTATTTAAGATGCCATGGCATGATTTGCAATTAATTGTTTATTTATTATGAAAATGTTTTGGCCAAATTTCTTGATAAACAGTAGAATGGGATTTTACTTGTTTCAGGTACTTATGATGCTCTCAACAGAACCTAGAAACCCAATGTCTAAAGGTATTTTGACAGCTTTGTCTCAAAAATTGTTTGGTGAATCTGATGATGCATATCAGCCTAAATTTAAACTTGACGATCGAGTGGCTATGGAATCTGGACAAGGAGAACTAGTCACTGGTACAGTGAGATGGGTAGGATTAGTTAGAGCTTTGAAAATTGAGTCTAAATTAATTGCTATTGGCATTGAAACAGTAAGCATTATATTACTAATATTTGGACAAATTTATACATGTGCTTTTTTGAATAGGATAATATTATTGATCCTTTAAATGATTTTCCTGGTTTGTCTCTCAATGTTACTGGAAAGCTTTTCAAGGTTTCACCAGGACATAGTTCCATTTTCCTTCCTGAAGGAGTAGTGAAATACATGTACGAAGAAGTTGAAGAAAAAATTAATAATGAGGAGTTGAATCATGAATGGGAGTCCTCCCATCAGGTTAGGGAAATTAATGATTATCAACAGCATACTATTATTGCATTT